AATACATATTCCTCCCCAAAAGCAAACTGATCTAGATCAAAAAAGCGTTCTTGTAACAATATAGTCTCATTGTATCGCTTGTTGCTTTTCTTCTATTGGCGACGTGCAAGTACTTGGATGTGATACGAGAAACGATCGTGCGCGAGTAGCGGAGAAATCTTGCATTTTTTACTGCACATTTCATAGATTTCATAAATTCATATTGTCAATTGTCATGTTTTATATTCGTTTGTTTATTTACACCTTGTGTAAATGGGATTTAGTAAATGCTGTGTTAGAAATTGTAAAAATACAGCAAAAAATTGTCAATTTAAGTTTTATTCGTTTCCAACTTCAAAGCACAAATTATTACAAAGAGAAAAGTGGATTTATATCATAAAAAAGCTTAAGTAACATAACCTAAATTATGCATTATTCTTGCGCCCGATTTTAAAGTGAGTTTGAAGTAAATAGCAAATAAAAGTTCACTTTTAAGTGTAAATTTTAGTTTCATAACACTCACTTAGAGTTCACTTTAACCCAAAAATCAAGTTTAATGTTTAAATTTTATTTTTTTTTAAGTTTACAAAAATGCATCAAGTTCAAGTTTTTCTCAGGATGAATTAAGATATATTCGCTGTCCAAAAGTTTACAGTGAAAAAATTAATTGTTCAAACCAATATAATGATATCATGGGCTAAACCTGCTAATTTATACATTTATGCATTAGCATTATTTATGGTAATTTATTTTTCTTAATTCTTCCACATTCTTAACGTGATTTGCCACTACTAAAGCTTTTCCCTTTGACTCAGTGCTTGGTTGAAAAGTTATTTAAACTTTGCTGGTATACAAGGCAACTATCGAACACAGTAATTAATTAAATCTTGCCCAAGTACTTTCGATCAATACATGATCTTCAGGGGCATTTCGTCAGTTGTGGCCTATCCGACATGAGCAGAATGTCGGATAGGCCACAACTGACGAAATGCCCCTGAAGATGATCTATTGATCGAAAGTACTTGGGCAAGATTTAATTAATTACTGTGTTCGATAGTTGCCTTGTATACCATCAAAGTTTAATTATTCGAACATTCAACCTTATATTGAAAAGTTATTTGGTGATTGACTTTCCCAAATCCAGTTTTTATTATTGCATCCATATTAACAGTAATGCTGTAATTTAATAATATATTTATTTGTATTTACACTACATACAACGTTTACCTTTTAATAACATATCGACATAACCTCAATCTTACTTTTTCTTCTTATTCTTTTTGGGGCTACGTCCTTGACAGTTATCCGGTAACCTCGATATAACATGAAAGCGCAGTAAATTTTGCTGATTTACGACACCAGGTGTCGCTGTTCCGAACTTGCACGGTCCCAATACCAGTATGCGTCTATTGCACGTGTACAAATGTAATCGTTGATTCATCAATAAAGAGACACTGCCAGCAATGCGCACGTCGGTATAATATGACGCAGTCTTCCAGATTAATAGCGTGCACTTAACAATCTTCTGTTGGGAGTTTGACCACTAATTACTTTTTCAGTAGCTTGCTTGGAGAAGCTATTGCAAATTCTGTTTCTTTTCCCAAGACTTCTTGGAAAAACATTACGGTTTCTACGCACCAATTGCTCGAGTCGCACGGTTTCTGATCCACTTCGTGGGAAATTTTTAATATGATTTCAACTGTCGATCATCGAGTAATCCAACTATATAGACGACTTCATTTTGACAACTGAAGAGTTATCATTTCAAGAAACAAGAATTTAAAAAATTTTAACGATAAGAAATAATTTGATGATATAATGTCGTCTGCTGGTAAATATTTTTTGCACGGTTCTATAAAACAAGATATTTGCATTTTTATGTGTGCTTACACATTTCTTTTAACACTGACGTAATGGGATTTCTCGGCTTTCAGAGGAATTGCAAAAATGCAAATGATGTCAACAGACAATGGAATTTTTTTGTAATAGATATGAGGTTTTATATTATGATTGTAGGTCAATGTACGTATTGCGTTTAGTAATTTTAAAGACTGTAGTCTACAATAACATATTAGATCAATAATTACATCTTATAAATGAATGAACATAGTTTATAGAACTTGAGATTGAAAATACAACAAAAAGCTTTAAGACCAAGAAAAATATCGTTTCTCGTGTACAATACGATTTTACATAATGAATCGTCTGGGTCGTGGGAATAAATCATGTTTCAAAACAAATTTGATAATAAAGACGTTAAAACATTTGATACTTTAAACGTGCGAGAATTTTTTACAACTGAGGATGGTTTGACGTTAATCTTGTCTAAGTAGGAAAACGCACGATTTTTTTACAGTTTCCTTTGCGTTCAATATACTTGATGATACGCTGTTCTAACTTTTATATTGTACTAGCTGTCCCGACAGATGTTATCCTGTCTTACCTATATGAGTTAAGAAATGAATAGAATCTGAATTCCGATGTTATATCTAATATGTAGTATGTACGTCATTGTTATAAAAAATATTTCTATACAGTCATTAGATTTGATGGTTTAATAAACGAGAGTCTTGTTTGTGGAAATAATTAAAATAAACAACATTTTTTATTACAAAGACGTTCAAAGAGTTTAGAACCTATCCCTGTTCTCAATACAAAGATGGCACGTAAATTCTTCACAGAACGAACGGTTTTATTAACTACTTTGTTATTGGCCTTCCGACGTAAGATCGCTGCTGAATTGCAAACACGAAGAGTATCATAAAAAGGCAGCACATTTTTCGATCTCGATCGCGATCTAGTCGTCTTACATTACACCACTAGCCCCTGCTAGATCTTATTGGCCGAGTGCCTCTTGAAAATTCAACGTTTATTATTATTACCCAAGAGTGAACCCTTGTAAGAAGACTTCTTTGAAGAAGAGTCCGAATGCCTTCGTAGTGAATACTACGAAGCTTTATCGGCTACGAAGTATTCGCAGGGAGTTATAGAAACCGGAGTTAGTGACTGTTGGTCATTGTTTTGTCGAGGTGAAGAAAAGTTTAACAACAAACCTCACGAAAGAAACTATCAGCTGGGAGTGAACATTCCCTGCCCGGGTAGCCATCGATCCTCGAGATATGGAAGACTGTCATATATATTTCGGATCGTGCCGAGTGGATTCCACTGGACCACCGACGGTTAGGAGTGAATAAAAGTCCTAGTTGGGCTTAGAATTACTCCTCATTCGGTGGCCGAGCTGAAGTAGCGCTTCGTCGCTAGGAACCTTTCGACGGAAACAATCAACGTCTTTACAGGACATAAGGTTGTTTCGGCGGGAGGTGACGTATGAAGTGTAGCACCAACATAAAGTCACCACTCCGCTGGTGTACCTATACACCTCGTGGAGTGTGTACTTGACCACACGTCGAAGCGTGAAGGGCCGGCATTCCTGCGAGATCCAAGGCATACACCGGGATCAATAATTAATACATGTAAGAGAAAATTTGTTGTGTGGGCCCTTGGTGACTACAGAGCCACCGGTGAGCTTCTCATGGAGTGTGGTACGAGTATATACAGATAACCACGAGGTAGGGGATGGAGGCGAAGAACCTTCGCTCCGCCTCACGAGCGGCGGTCGAATCACATCCAGACACACCGAATACCTCGGTGGATGCTTCGAACTTACGACGTACCATTCAGGTGATAATTATTAGTAAAATAATGCACTAATAAATGCTAATAGCGACCTCTAACTAGCCAAAATGAAGTCAGTATGAATAGCGATTAAAGTAAGCTGTAAGCCCAAGCTAATGAAGCTTCTATCTATACCGCGGTTTTAAATAATGTCGGTTTTACTCGTGGCTCGTTGATGCTGATAGACAAGAGAGCAAAACAGTCGCGTTGGAATGAAAATTTAACATATCTTGTTCGGAGTGTAAAATATTGTGTTATCTCGCTATAACACACCACGAAATAATGAATATTAACGAAAACGTTCTAGATTTTGGGTTAAAAGTTTGATAAAAAAAAAGACGAGAATTGTCGCAGTTCCATTTAATTCAAGAATTGTTAGTAGAAGCACTTGATTACAAAAATCTGAGAATGTCCGAAAAATCGTACAATGAATTTTCTTTAGTGACATCTATAATCCGAGATATATCTCCTTATGGCCAACTATAATCCGATACCTGGCCGAAGATAAATCACAAAGAAAATTACAGTATTCTACTTTAAATAGGTAAAGAAATAATAAATAAGACTTACAATCAATTTAATTTAACTATCAGACGACCGGTTTCGCTTTCTACAATATGCAAAGCATCTTCAGGTCTCGATACAAAGTTCGATACAAAGTTACTTGAAGATGCTTTGCATTTTGTAGAAAGCGAAACCGGTCGTCTGATAGTTAAATTAAATTGATTGTGAGTAAGTCTTATTTATTATTTCTTTACCTATTTGAAATGGACTCACACAAGCAACACATTCATGATTATTCTACTTTAATATATAGGCAAGCTTTGAGAAGGATTATTCCAGAGACATCAGCCAGAGATTAATATCAAGCTACTTTCGTATTCACTCGTTATTCTTTGAATCACTTAACAGTTCCAACACCAGCCAGTTCTAATACTAGAAAAATATCAGACATTCTTCTTCTTCATGTACCATGTCCTTTCAGAATGTTGGTTACTCCTCAGTTGGAGGATCCAGGATCCTCAATGCCAATTTTAGGTCTCTGTTACATTACACCTTGGACATCCTTCTAAAAGCAGCTCTAGCCTGCTCTATCCTAGATCTAATTTCGAATGACTATCAGACATTACTATACAGAATAACATGTCTGTTTTAATAATTGGGTTAGGCATGTTGGATGTGTAGGGATCTGCTGAGTTAGAGTCTAGAATTAGAAGTTCTAATATATGTGACTTCTATATGTAAATAATTTAAACATATAGTGGTATTGTTGTATTTGGTCAATGTAATAATTTAATGACTACTTTAAGTGTTATGAGTTTATACATCTTTTATTTTTGTTACAGGTAGTAGTACAGCATGCGTCGTAGTCCTAAATCGAGAAAACAGTACCTTATATACTTCGAATATTGGAGACAGCGGGTTTATGCTGGTGCGGCGGGGTAAAGTAATAAGAAAATCAGAAGAACAACAACACTACTTTAACACCCCCTTCCAGTTGTCGTTACCTCCTCCTGGATACAGACAGGAAGTGCTAAGCGATCGACCGGACGCCGCCATGACAGATAATATTCCTGTCGAAGACGGAGACGTCATTCTAGTCGCCACCGATGGTGTTTTTGATAACCTGCCCCAGACTCTTATCGTCAACGAACTTATAAAGGTAAGCATAGTATTTCGTAATTCCGAAATTTTTTGCAAAATGGGATAATCATTCGAAAATTTATATAGACATATAGGAATGCCGACAGAAGTGTGTAGGCACACTTGCAAACACACACACAACCAAAATAAGAATATTATTGATTTGTCAAAAAATTTCAAAGGTATAATTTTCTAAGAGCACCCGGTATAGCATCACCTACCTTACCATTCCAGGCCCCTTGCTCATGTCGGAAGAGATTTGGGTGTGATTCTTTCAAGCCCTATAATACAATCTGTTTTAATATGTCTTAAATATCAAAATAAATTTATGGGCGCCATCTTTTATTGATTAAATGTATTTCGGAAAGCTTTTAGGAAAATTGCGTCCTATTGCAAAAGAATAAACATTCTGTATTTCTGTATTGAATTAAGAATGATATAAGTACTTATATGAAACTAAAATTAATTTTTACCCAAATTTCGAAATTCATTCACATACAAAAATTCTGATATTTATGTAATTAAAATAATAATAATAAAATCACATTACTGTTATTTAGTTCATAGATTCTTCTTCTTCTTGTAGTGCCTATCCGTTTCGGATTTTGGCGACCATCATGGCAATCTGTATTTGACAAACTGCTGCTCTGATAGGATTTGTGGGTGTTGTGTTGAACCGCGTACGTAGATTTTTCAGCCAGGAAATCCTTCGCCTTCCTGGTCCTTGTTTTCCTTGTAGAATTCATTGCAGCAACCCATATCTTTCGCTGTTAGCGCTTGTTTCGACCAAGTGCTCGCCGTTTTGTCATTATCATCATCATCTTTGGCTCGACAATTCTTTGTGGATCCCGGCCTGCTCTAAGATTAGTTGCCATTCTGTTCGGTTTCTAACAACTTGTTGCCATCTTCTGATCTAAGTTCATAGATAATCTTCGCTATTAAAAAAAGTAAAAAAATGGTACAACCTAGATTATGCAAAGCTTTGGTAGCTTAAAAAAGGATATAATTTTACTACTGGTTACTAAGTCATGGATTTCAAAGCGTCTAATCCATTAGCGGTAGAAACATACATCCACTATAAAAATCCATAGGACGGGTCGGCTAAACAAATGGGATATTTCACAAAAGGCACTTATATAAGATGATAAATCATAACAGTAAACCGGTGAATGTTGGGAGTGTCATGCCATGGCGACTAATTAGACAGCCTGACTTCAAAACAATCATACTCTATTCCATAATGAAATTCACATCGGGACAACAAACATGGCCTGGGCAGTATTTATTTAAAATATAAAAGAAAAAAGGGAATTTTCGACTTACCTCGTTAAGAGACCACTATTACAACATGCGTCCTTTATGCTGTACGTTCAGAAAGAGAAAGAATGATGATTTGCGGGGAGATAACTAGCGCTCGAATTTATGAGGCCAAAATCGGAATTGACTATGATCTGCATTTAAGAATCCAACTCCTCAATTTAGATGTTTCCGTACTTGACGGATAGATGGCGGGATTAACATTATTTTAAATATAAGGGGTTAACTTTTGAAACAGTTACAAGTGAATACTTCGTATAGCGGTTTATTGCTATAATTAAGTGGGTTAATGAAATTTTTTGTCTGCGTATTGCAGCATTGTAAATATTTTTATAATACCACACATTTAAGTTCTTTAAAATTGAAAAAATCTTAATTTTTTTCTTTAAAAATTTTGTTACTTCAAGTCAAAACTTCAAATCTGTATTTTCTTTAATAGCCGAAATATAGGGCTGTCGTTAAAATCTCTACTATTCTAAATTTTAGACATCATTTGAATTAAATTTAATTAAAACCAATTTAGATTTTGTAAGAGTTATAATTAACTTGTAAATAATCGAATAAAAATGAATAAATAATATGTTTATCTAGTTTTTTCTTATGTAATATACACATTAGCGATTATCGGGATTTGTACATTTTCCAATGTATCTCATATGTTTGCGGTTTGCAATTATTTTGCATAAATTAGATATTTCAAAACGATTACTCATTTTTTATAATATATCTCAAATCTGATTGATTATTGTAGTCTGTTGGCAGCTGTTTTATTCCATAACATCTGCTGACAAGTAGAAGTAAACTGTGATTTTTTTCTAATTTTATTTTGTGAATTGTGTTACAAGTGAAGTAAGACATTAACATTAATCAAAAATTTCATCAAAATTATCTGTCTCTGGCCCTTTTCTGGACTCTCTCCCTTCACTCTTCCTTTTTTAGTATAGGTCTGGATTCGTCTATAAAAAAATCGTATATATGCGCAGGCCGCCTATTTAATATGTCTTTGACATTCATAATTATTTTCCCATTCCTGACCATTTGTTATTTTTTTTGCGTCCAGTGTTTCTTTTATTTTTTTATGTAGATTATAATTATCATTTTTTGATACCAATTGCTCACTTGCTAATAAATCATAATGTTTGCCCTATTTTAAATAGGTGAAAATAATAACGCTTGTCAAACACTAATTGTTGTAAAAGAGCTGCTGTTTTTTAAAAGCTTAATGGTATTGCTAATCAAGGAAGAGAGATTTTTTGGTTATACACGGACGAATTTCTATGGATTTACGTCTTCTAAAATACACTCGTCGCAAAAAGATCTTAATGTTCTAAGTTGATTGCACTTATACAGATGCTTAAGTTACATTATGTGACATGTAAAAGAGTTGTAACTTAAACATACGATCATTGTTCCTTATTTCTTTGTTTGTTTGTTATTAAGTTTAATGAAATGTCTTAAATTTCATTCATAAAGACACCATCTAAATATGAGGAAGTTGTGTAATAATAATAATGTTAAATAATAACATTGCAGATCACCTGTTGTAGATTATACTACATAAAAATCAACTACTTTATGTACTTCATCCCAAATTAAACTTGTAGAAAAACACAATCTGGCAGACAAATACAAAAACGTGTGCCAAAAAGTTTGTTTACCATCATTAGATGAAACGAAAAGTATTAACATGTTGTTTTTAAGTTTTTTTATCGTGTGCTTGTTGCAATTACAAGAAAACGTTGCTTTTTAGAAATTAGAATATTTTCTAATTAACATTTATTTATATAAATACATAGCACGACTGATATACATCTAGAATCTATGGAAGAGTATCACCAAGACCAAGTTCCTATATTTCGCCGTATTATTCATCCTTCGTCGATCCAATATACCAGCATATTGTAGGCTAAGCAGGAAATTAAATTAGATATTGAATAATATCTGATATCTATCCAGTAATAGAAAATAGCTACTACGTTATAGTTATAGTGCCTGTTGGCAAAAAGATAATGATTGATACTCTCTCCAAACTTTGCTTCTCGCTTCATTAGGCCTAATCTAATACGGTTTATACGGATATATGGATGAGCCAGTCTTCTTTAATTGGTTTGGTGGTCAGTTTATATCCCATGTGGGAAAAGTTAACAGATCACTGCCAAATGTGGAGTCTACTCAAAAAGCACGCTTAATGTTTGATGGACACAAAAGCCATATAAGTGCAAGACTTGTACAAGCTGTCCTAGAAAACTAAAATAATTTTATTTCGACTTCCTAATTATCTAACACACAGACTGCAGCCTCTAGATTGTTCTGTTTTTAGTCGTCTAAAAACAGGATGGAATAGAATATTACTCACAGAAATGAGAAAATATTTGGGTGTTATCAATAAGAAAAAAATGTCGAAAAAAGATTTTTCTATTGCCATCAAAGGTATGGATAAAATATCCAACTCCGGATATCATCGTTCGGGGATTTGTTGGTATAGCTTCTTTACCAGTGGACCAAAGTAAATTTCCAGAGGATAATTATGACCAAGTTGCGTTAGCTAGGTACAAATCTACAAATTTAATTGATTTATTCGTAAATAAATTAAAGCCGAATGTAAAAAGTTGGGTTTCTCCAACACCAGTCAATATGGAGAAGTTTTAACTTCCGAAGACGTTTTAGAACGACTGCGTCAAGAAGAAGAGAGAAGAAAACGTAAAGTTAAAAAACGAAAAACAAGTCAAAAAGATAAAACTCCACAAAATAGAACAAAGTAAAATATTTGGGAAAGCGAATCTGATACCAACGAAGACTTGGAAAAAGAAATGCAAGAAAATATGAGAGAGAGCGATAGCGATATAAGCTTAAATTATGATGCCGACGATGATACGCCTGAAATAAAAGAAGATGTTAGTTCTTCGTAGAAAAATACAATTGAATTAAGGCGAGAAAAAGCGCAGCGAGAAGAATAGATGGCAACAGATAAGCCATCCACTAGTAATATTTCCCAACCATCTGGCTGCAATGATAGTTGCCAAGATTTACGTAACCGTTATTTTACAGTAACCACTTCGAAAACATGGTACATTGGTTTAGTATCGGAAATTGTTTCCCATAAAGATGTGAAAATGACATTTTTATATCGACTAGGAAGTTCTTTTAGATGGCCAATGCATCAAGATTAAGAATGTAGCGGTAGAATAAAAACAATACAAATGGTATTGTTTTTATTTAATTTGTTCGTTTTAAATTTAGTTAATCACTTAGTTGTCAATGTACCGTTTAATTTCTGAATAAACTAGTAAGGGAAATTATTGATTTTATTATTTTTTCATATGCATTAAATGATAAGCTTTTGTCTTCATTTACCCATATTATTTTATAGGTGAGTTAACTTGGAAAAAAACTGCAGTCTTCATTTACCCCGTACATTGGGGCAAATGAGGACATTTGACTTAAGATTTAAAAAAAAATTATACAGTACTTGCTTTACACAAATATATGTTAAAAGTCATAATGTCTTGAATAATTATCTCTCCTAGATCACGTAAAAATATACCAAAAATTTAATCACACTAATTGTTCCCAAAATATCTTGATATATATTTTAAATTGAGGTAAGTGTCGCCCATTACCTTTATATATATATATATATATATATATATATATATATATATATATATATATATATATATATATTTGTGTATATTCGTATTT